AGTTTAAAGACATACGAAGTCAATAATAGTGAAGATAGTCCCTGACTAGTTGATGTTTGGCGTGTGCTTCTTGTCGGTTGCAGATACAGGGACCAGCTGCGCCCTGGGGTGTGGGCTCCGTGGTGCTCACCTGCTGGGCATAGTGGGACACACGTCATGCACGTGATCATGCCACACACACATGTGGATGCTCCTGCCCCCACCCAGAGCTCCTGGGATTTCAGGGAGCAGTGCGCAGACAGCCTCAAGTCACGTTGGTAACGGAAAGCACAATCCAGGTTTTAAAAATAGAACCCAAGGCAGATGAATGGGCGTCTCTCCGCCTCCACAACCCAATGCAGAATATTCCGAAGGAAATTGCCCCCTATTACTTCATTCTGTTCCCAAGCCTGTGGCCTCAAAGAGCTGCTCGTCCTCTATTAATCATACATGGAGACCAGACTGTGCTTTCTTGGCTTAATGGAGGCACTAGGCACTCACAAAAGAGCATCTGACGGGCTGAGCCACGCGGTTCCTGTAAAGCAGACTGTGTGGTCACAGTTTGTACACGCTGGCGTGGGGCCTAGGGAAGCCTTCCAATGCCAGTGCCCCGCAGAGCCCGCGTGGGGGATGGGCACTCTGGAGGCATCAAGCTGACCTGTGAGAGAGTGCAAGCAAATCCCTGCCCCCACCCCGGGCCCCCCTTCTCTACTGGTGATGGACATGGAGGAGGAGATGGGCTAGCAGGTCTGCAGCTTTGCCAGCTTGACTCAGGGCTCCCCAAGTCTTCTACCCACTTCACTCAAGAGGACCAGGGTATCCTGGCCTGCCCAGCCCTGCCCCACCATCTGGGGCTATGAGTGTGGGGAGCCATGGAAGGTGCCTGATGAGGAGAAGGCTGTTGTCCACGAGAGGCTGCCACTGGCAAGGACCTGTGGGTGTGAAAATGTGTCGGGGATTTCTGGGAAGAGGAGCAAAGGGGAAGGGGCTGTGAGGCTTAGGTGACAAGGAGGGGTGAGTCAGGCTGTGTGCGAGGCCTCACCAGACTGAGTAGAGTGGGGTGGGCTGGCGTCCAGGATCAAGGCCAGGGCTGGAGCCACTGATGGGAAATCCTGGGGCCCTGGGCCATGACCGACCAACTGAGGGTTGAGTCTGGGGCACCCAAGGCACACTGCAGGCCTTTGTCAGAGAAGCGTGTCAGCTTCCAGACCAGATCTGTGTTCCGACTGAGCTGTCCTTTGAGGAGGTGGGCCAGAGACGCACAGTCCCAGGCTGCAGCATATTAGAGCAGAAGGTCCTTTTCACCTTTGGCCTGCTGCATGCACCCCTGGTCAGGCAGTCCTGCCTTCTGCTGGGATGATGGGGACGGTTCCTGGCAGAGGGACCGGCCAGGTGGCCCAGCACGTGCATGAGGCCTTCTGCCTCCACCCCAGCAGCTACTTCCCATGCCCTGAGAATGAATTCCAGGGTCCTCACCAGGGTGCGGGTGCAGGCTCCGTTCACCCACTCCCCTGCCCTGCACCCTGTCCATCTTCAAGGTGTCCAGACCCAGCTCGTCCTTTTTCTGGAATGCTCTCTGCCGCCCTACCCCCTTGGCTAACTTCTCCCTTTAGATCGCAGCGTAAATGCCCTTCTATGCTGTGGCCCCTGTGCTTTTTCTTCACGCCACTGTCACAGTTTGCAGTCCTTGGTTCACTCCTGTAGCTCTACAGGCAGAGGGGCCTGGGCTGGTCTGTGATTTGCATGTGCCCAGCCCCTGGGCACTGTCAGCCACCTTGGGAAGGAGTTGGTCTGCCCCTTGCAGCAACACCATACATGGAGACAGGGTAGGGATTACAGATCAGAAAACTGAGGCCAGGGTACCAGGTTTGTCAGAACTCAATCTCACTCTTCTGCCAGTACCCACCTGCCCTCTATTGTGTTGCCCACCGGTGCTCCCCTGACGGGTTTGCTAGGCTGTGAGCAACCTAGGGCTGGCCAGAGGTTCCTGGCAGGTCTCACTGCCCTAGGTATGAGCAGACTGAGGTCAGCCGGGGCAGCAAGAAGCAGGTGCCAGAGCTGAACAGGTGGGCAGGCAGAGCCCACAGGCCAGGCAGTTGGGTGTCACTTCAGCTCATGAGAACATGGAGGCCTGACCATCACTACACACATGCTTACACACATACACATATGTATATACACACACAACGCATGCATACATACATGCAACACATACTTACAGATATACATATGCACGCACACGTGTACATACACACATATACGCACGCAATGCATGCATACATACATGCACATACTTACTTACAGATACACATACCTACACGCACACATACATATGCTCACACATATACACGTACTGTGTTTTTACACAAATAGTGTATGCCTTCTACATTTGTTTGCCAACTGCGCCCTCTCCCTGTGAAGTATTTTCATAAGGGCTGCTATGCCAGTTTTTTTACATATTGCTGTAAAAAAATTAGCATAGCATGCTTATGAAAATACCTCGTAGGGGAGGGTGTGGTTGGCAAGCAAATGTAGATGGCACGTGTTCTTTGCATAAAAATACAGTACACACACAAACTCTGCTGTGGGTGGTCCCTGAGGCAGTGGTAGCCAAGGAATTGGGTGTCTGCAGGTGAGCCCCGCCCCTGAGTGGGTACAAAAGATGGTGGCGGCTGGCTTGTGAGAAAGTCTGGTGAAGGCATGGGGTGGAGCATGGGGGTGGCAACCGTGCACAGTGCTGAGTGTGCCCCAAGCTGGCAGCTGTGACCCTGAGCCAATCCCAGTGCTCAGCCTGGAGCTGCAGGGTGACCCTGAGCCTGCATTGCAGGAGAGGGCAGGGAGGGCAGCAGTGGGTGGAGGGTTGAGTCTGGACAACATGACCAGGGACCAGCTTTGCCCTGATACACGTGTGCCACTGTTTGACAGGTTACCCTGCAGGCCCCTGCCCACCCTCCTCCTTCCCACTTCCTCCTTGCCCCCCCCCGACTTTCTTCACTCTGGTGGGGGGAGGGGGATGAGGGACTAGGCAGGGGATATGCTTTCTCTCCATTCAGTAAATATGTACTGACCCCCATCTGCCAAGCAGTGCCAGGTCCCAGAGAGAAAGTCTACTTGACGTAAAAGTTCCAGGGAGGCAGTTTTTAGCTCAGCCTAAGGAAAAAATTTTTACCACAATCTGAATTTACCAATGGAATGAATGAATGAGTAAATGAACAAAGATGGTAAATTCTTTCTGCTTCAGAGAGCCTGGTGAACAGAGATACTTAGCAATGGATGGATGGAAGGATGGATGAGGGATGTAAAGATGAATAGATGTGTAGGTGGGTCTGGAGACCATGGTTTCAGGGGACATCTAGGTCGATTGGCATAACAAAGTTTTTTAAGAAAATGTTCTGTATCTTACTTTGGGGAGTGGCATCTGGGGTCTTAAAAGCTAGCAAGTGGCCATCTAAGATGCATTAATCGGTCCCAACCTTCCTGGAGTAAAGGAGAATGAAGAACACCAAAGACACAAGGAAAGTATTAGCCCAAGAGACAGAAAAGGCCACATATACCAGAGACTTCATCAGCCTGAAACCAGAAGAACTAGATGGTGCCTGGCTACCACCAATGACCGCCCTGACAGGAAACACAACAGAGAGTCCCTAATGGAGCAGGAGACAAATAGGGTGCAGAACTCAAAATGTAGTAAAAAGATCAGACTAAATGGTTTGATTGAGACTGGAGGGACCCCGGAAGACATGGCCCCCAGACTCTCTGTTAGCCCAAAACTAAAAGCATTCCCAGGGCCAACTCTTCAGTCAAAGATTAGACTGGACTATGGGACATAAAATGATACTCGTGAAGAGTGTGCTTCTTAGTTCAAGTAGATACATGAGACTAAATGGGCAACTCATGTCTGGAGGTGAGATGAGAAGGCAGAGAGGGTCAGGAGCTAGATGAATGGACAGGGAAAATCCAGGGTGGAAAGGAGGAGTGTGCTGTCACAGTATAGGGAGAGCAACTAGGGTCACGTAAGAATGTATGTATAAATTTTTATATGAGAGACTAGAATTGTAAATTTCATTTGAAGCACAACAATTGAAAAAAAAAAGAAGAGACTGATGGATGAAAGGATGGGTGGATGAGTGGGTGAATGGATGGGTGCTATGTGGATGGGTAGAAGAGAGATTGATGGATGGAGGAATGGGTAGATGGATGGATCATGCACTGCTCTGGCAGGGAGGTGCCTGGTACAGAGTGAATATTCAGAAATGGCTGGAGGAAGTGGTTGTCCCGCATGAGACAGCAAAAGCTTCATGTCTCTTCCGAGTGTGATGATCGTGGGGGAGTGAGGATGTGTGTTTGTGGTACATGCCAACACTTGTGCCCACACACGTCCCCTTCCTTTGAGTGTGCCCGTCACACAGCACCTAGGGCCTCCGCTGACCAGTGCTACTCCCCCACACAGGGCCCAGACCTTGAACTCCCCCTACCTGCAGCTGGGCCAGCCCTCCTAGGTGGGGTGCTCAGGTACCAGGGGCCCTGCTATGCTGCCTGGGACTTGTGCCTAATTTTCTAAGCCTTGCCGGCCTCTGCAGTACAAGTTGCTAAAGTGGACAGGATCATGGTTTGCAAACTGGCAACCCTTGGGCTGAAGCTGCCTGCTGACATGCACAGAGTCTAAATTGTTGTCAATTAATTGCCTACTTCTTAAACTTAGGACATGTCACATATAAGTCAGGATTTCTGGCTTCCCTTGAAAAATCCAAGAGTCGTACAGATCTACACCGCTTCCTGTCATCTCCTGGTGGCAGGACTGTGCTCTCCACGCAGCCTCAGGCCCCTCCAGTCCATGCCCCTCGTGTTTGTCACCTTGCATGGCCCAGCAGGCATTTGAGTTTGAGACCCTGGACTGGATACTTCTGAGGACCCACCCAGCCTGAGGCCAGGGGCACCAGTAGAGGAAGGGGGTGCAAGGAGTGTGCAGCTTCCTCCCTGTGCAGTGACACTCTGTCCCGCCCCCCTCCCCCCCTTTGCAGCTTCACACAGGCCATGCTAAGCCAGCCCAAGATGGAGAGCCTGGATAATGCCGGGGCCTACCGCGTGGGCCTGGTGCTCCTGGGAGTGGGTGCCTTGTTCGTACTCACCAGCTTCTCTGCACTGGGCTTCACTGGAACCTTCCTAGGTAAGACCCTCTGGCTGGCCGGCCACCCTGGTGGACCAGGTATTCTTGCCCTCCCCTGACTCTTTTCTGTGGGCAGACCTCAAGGGTGGGCTGGATGGGCTCCGGCGTCCCAGCCAGCGCCAGACACTGGGCTTCTGCCCCCCAGCACTGGCCCCTGAGTGATTTCTCCCCTTCAGAAGGCCCTTGGGACCTTGCTTGCACTGCACACAGGGAGAGTGCTGTTTCTGGTGCCCTGGCTGCCTGGCCAGGCCGGATTCCTGTGTTTGGGCCCAAGGCAGGGGCAGGTCTGGGGTGGGTGTGGTGAGGGGTGGGGATATGATTCCTTGTATTTGTTTCCCACTGCCTGGGGATATGGAAATTTCAGGCTGGGCCCCCATCCACCCATAATGTCAGTCACTTCCCACCCCTGGGAGCCTATGAGTAGAAGCTACTGGGGGCTGGGGGGCTTGGAGAGCAGGGACCTTTGGAGAACAGGGCAGAGGGGGTGGCGCCTCTGCAGAGGGGACCCATTCCTGGCAGCAAGCCACACATGGGACTTAGCTGGCAGACAGGGCTGCCGCGGGTCTCAGTCTCCCCTTCCCTGCCACCTGGCCTGTGTATCTGCACCCCACAGACACTGGGAGGCTGCCCTGGGCCCAGCACTGGACCCTACCCTCAGTGGGGGCCACACTGTTAAGGGGGAGGGCTCCGTGTGTGTCCAACACCAGGCCTGTGTTAGGAGCTGGGGCGCAGGGATGGGACGCAGCTATGTGCCTCCTGGTGGGACAGGAACTGTCGGGGGGTCTGTTCCTAGAAGAGGGGGCTGCCGAGAGAACCTGGGAAGAATCAGGGAAATGTGAACACTGTGGCTGACCAGGTGGTGACAGGGCTAGGAGGAAGGAGGAAAGGCCTTGAGCCAAGGAACTACATAGGCAGAGCAGAAGCGGGGGTCTTGTTGGAGGGAGGCCGGCAGGCTGTGACAGGACTGCGGCAAGGGGTACAAGTCGGGGTGGTGGGGCTGAGCTGGACTGGAGGTGCCGAGGGCTGAGCCAGGAGCTGAGGCTGCATCCCCAGGGCTATGGGGAGCCACAGAAAGGCTTGGAAAGACCCTCCCCAGCAACAGGGAGAGTGGGCTGGGGAGTAGGGGGTGGGATGGAGGTGAGGACCAAGGAAGGGGTCGTGGCCCACGTTGCGGGGCTGGTGAGGAATGAGAGATGCCAGGGCCTGGGGTGGAGGGGGGCTTCCTGCTGGAGGTGGGGAGAGACTGTGCTGGAGACCAGAGGCAGACCACCCCTCCAGCAGGGAGGGCCCGTCTTCATTCAGGGCTTAGGGAGCAGAAGGGACCGAGAGGGTGGAGGTGTGGAATGACCGGGTGGGGATGTGGTGGGAAAGGGGGGCTGGTCACGTCAGGGCTGGAAGGGGGTGGTCGGAAAGGAGCCCAAGGATGCCCAGCAGAAGTGGCTTAGAAATGCCGAAGGGGGCCCAAGTGGCCTTTGGAAGTAGGTAACCCTGAGTGAGTTAGCCTCAAAGTGGGTTCTGTGCCATCGCCTCTTCTAGCCCATTTCCTGCTTCCTGGGAAGAGAGCTTCGTCCAGTGGTTCCGGCCCTCACCTCAGATCTGTTGCACCCTTCGTGCTGGGACGATGGCGTGACACAGCTCCCGGTAGCTCCTCCTGCCGCTGTACCCCGTTGGCAGCCGGCTGCCCTACTTTTTCCTCAGATGAGGCTCAGTTGTCCTCAAGGAGCAGCAACAAACACGGACTGTTCTGGGGAGAGGAGGGCCTGCAACGACAACAATGGCGGCCTTTCTGTTTTCTTCACCACGTATATATTAACATGTAGATTTAAATTTCATAATGTGAGTTAATTTTTTTTTAAACTAAAATACATTTGAGGCCTCCTTATATTTTCATTTATTTTAAAACTTTAATTTGATAACTCTTGTATTTTTTCTCAAAGGGCGATGGAGTTTCAAACTACTCCTATGCAAGTACATTGCAAATAGCATGTGGGAGATGTCTTTGGTCCCAACAATCAAAAGCCAAATAGATACAGCTGTCACTGTGTTTTCTCCCTCAACATGTTTGTTTTTAATTTTAGGTAGGAACAATTTATTAATTATATAGAAATTATGCACTATGAGAATTAACTACAATGGATATTTTGTTTGGTTGCTTTACATTTTTTTTCTTCTTCTTTTTTAAAGTAATAATTCCCCATTCCCTTCTCGACCCAGCTCCTGGTAACAGCTAATCTAGTTTTGCCTCTATATGCATTTGCCTATTCTAGGTATTTTATGTAAGTGGGATCATACAATATTTGTCTTTTGTGTGTGGGTTATTTCACATTAGCATTATGTTTTCAAAGTTCAACCATGTGGTAGAAACTTCATTTCCTTTTATGTTGAATAATATTACATTATATGGATATATACACATTTGCTTTATCCATTCATCTGTTGGACACTTGGATTGTCTCCACCTTTTAGCTAATGTGAATAATTCTGCTGTGAACATGACTGTACAAGTATCTATTTGATCCCTACTTTCAAGTCTTTTGGGTGTATACCCAGAGGTAGAATTGCTGGGTCATACACTAATTCTATGTTTAACTTTTTGAGGAACTTCCAAACTGTTTTCCACAGTGGCTGCCATATTGGCCATACATGCATGGGTTTATTTCTGGACTCTCAATTCTACTCCATTGGTCTATTTGTCTGTCCTTATACCAGTGCCAGACTGTTTTGATTACTGCAGCTTTATAGTACGTCTTCTGCTGTGATGCTGAGCAGGTTTCAGTGGCACTTCCAGACTAAGACAGCCTAGGAAAAAAGGCCTTGTGATCTATTTTTGAAAATCAGACCCCGAGAACCCTATGGATCACAATGTTTCAATTCACAACTGATTATGGTGATGGCACAGGGCCAGGCATGGGGTCAGGAACTGACTTGAGGGCAGCTAACAACAGCTAATAGTAAGTCTTGAAATCAGGAAGTGTGAGTTTTCCTAGTTTTTGAAGATTGTTTTGGCTGTTCAGGGCCCCTTACAATTCTGTATGACTTTGAGGACTTTTCCATTTCTGCAGAAACTGTTGGAATTTTGATAGGGATTGTGTTGAATCTGTAGATCACTTTGAGTAGTATTGACATTTTAATAATATTAAGTCTTCCTCTGATCCATGAGCATGGAATATCCTTCCATTTATATAGGTCTAATTTAATTTCTTTTAGCATTATTTTATAGCATTCAGTGTACAAGTTTTTCACCTCCCTGGTTGAATTTATTCCTAGGTACTTTATTCTTTTAGATGCTATGTAAATGGAATTGTTTCCTTAATAACCTTTTCCAGATTGATCATTGCCAGTGTATAGAAACACAACTGATTTTTGTGTGTTGACCTCGTACCCTCCAACTTTGCTGAATTCGTTTATTAGCTCTAGCTTTCTTGTGGATTCTTTGAGATTTTCTATATATAGGATCATGTCATCTGTTAATAGAGATAGTTTAACTTCTTCCTTCCTGATTTGGATATATTTTATTTCTTTTTCTTGCCTAATTGCTCGGCTAGGACTTCAATACAATGATGAATAGCATTGGTGAGAGCTTGCATCCTTGTATCCTTGTCTTCTTTCTGATCTTATGGAGAAAGTTTTCAGTCTTTCACCATTGAGTTTGATGTTAGCTTGTCGCAGCGGCGACGGTAATCGGGTAATCGGGTAATCGGGACGGCGAAGACAGTAACCAACTACACAACTCTTACAGAGAAGTGGGGCCAGGAGGGTCACTCTGAGGAGTCGACCCCCACTTCAGTCCCAGGAGTTTATTTTATAGTCAATACAGCAAGCGATAAAGCAATTAACACAACAAATGGGCTTTGGGAGTGGGCAAGGGAGAAGGAATTCAGGTAAACAAGTTTATCAGTAAAGGGACAATAGGTTTGGGAAAACACATCCCGATAAGTCTCGACATGTTGGAGCCAGGTCTCAACATGCTGTGCAGCATAGAGGCCTGTGGGGGCTGCAGTTGTCAATAGTGCAGCCATGTTTAAATGGCATATATCCCCACATTAGCTGTGTGTTTTTCATAAATGCCTTTTATCATGTTGAGGACATTCTTTTCTGTTCCTAGTTTGCGGAGTGTTTTTATCATGAAAGGGTGTTGGACTTTGTCAAATGCCTTTTCTTCATCAATTGAGAGGATCACATGGTTCTTATTCTTTGCTATTAACGTGGCTTATTGCATTTATTTATTTTCTTATGTTGAACCACCCTTGCATTCCTGGAATAAATCCCACTTGGTCATAGTGTTTAATCCTTTAATATAGTGTATGTCTTAGGCTGAGTTCTCTAGATAAATAAAACCAGTGAAGCGTGTGTGTGTGTGTGTGTGTGTGTGTGTGTGTGTGTATGTGTGTATATATAGAGAGATTGATTTATATATATATATAGAGAGAGAGATTGGTTTATCTCAAGGAAATGACTAACATGGTTGTAGAGGCTGGCAAGTCCCAAGTCCATGGGTCAGGCATCAGGCTGGAGGCTTCTCCTGACTCATGTAGCTGCAGGGGCTAACGAACCCAAGATCGATAGGTCAGACGGCAGGCTGCTGGCCTACAGACTGCAGAGGCTAATGGATCCCAAGATTGGCAGGCAGTACAGCAGGCCACTGGCTCAAGTTCTAAGAACCAGAGGCCAGGTGATGACAAACTGGATGGAGGATCCAGAGCAAGCAAAAGCCAGTGATCTTCGCCAGAGTGACCATATATATTGGATGCAGGCCACACCCCTGAGGAAACGCCTCTTGCAACTAATTGGCTGATCACATCAGATCACATGATGGAGGTGATTACATTATATCACAAAATGGAGGATAACTATATTGTTGCATAACTTCCAAATTACATCATTACTTAACTGCCAAACTACGTCATTACATAACTGCCCAACCACTGAGAATCGTGGCCCAGCCAATTTTACACACAACCTTAACCATCACAGTGCTGGATTCTGTTTGCTAGTATTTTGCTGAGGATTTTTGCATCTCTGTTCATAAGGAATATTGGTATGTAGCTTTGTTTTCTTATGGTGTTTTTGTCTGGCTTTGGTATCAGGGTAATGCTGGCCTCTTAGAATGAGTTAGGAAGTGTTCCCTCCTCTTCTATTTTTCAGAACAGTTTGAGAAGGATTTGTGCTACTCTTTAAATGTTTAGTAGAATTCCATACTGAAGCCATCTGGTCCTGGACTTTTCTTTGTTAAGATGTTTTTGATTACTGATTCAATCTTTTTGCTCATTGTTTTCTTTTCTTTTTCCTTTACAGTGTCACTTCTGCCACAAATTATTTTATTTTTTTATTGTGCTTTAGATGAAGGTTTGCAGAGCAAATTAGTTTCTCGTTAAACCATTAATACACATACTGTTTTGTGACATTGTTTGCCAATCCTGTGATGTGTCAACACTCTCCACTTCTTTACCTTGAGTTCCCCATTTCCATCTGTCCAGCTTTCCTGTCCCCTCCTTCCTTCTCGTTTTTGCACCTAGGCTGGTGTGCCCATTTAGTCTCATATATATGGTTGAGCTACGTGAATTATTGTTTGTTTTATGGGCCTGTCTAATCATTGGCTGAAGGGTGAACCTCAGGAGTGACTTCAGTACTGAGCTAAAAGGCTGTCCAGGGGTTTACTTGTTGTTTTCTGTTAAAATTTTCTGTTTCTTCTGGAGTCAATTTAGGTAGTTTGTGTGTTTCTAGGAATTTGTCAGTTTCATCTAGGTTATCTAATTTATTAATATATTGTTCATAGTAATCTTTTATGATCCTTTTTTATTTCTGTAAGGTTGGTGGTAATGTCTCTACTTCTAAATGAATAATTTCTTTTATAAGGATCAGCACAAAGCTGGTTCCTATGAAGCAGAGGTTAAAGATATCCCAAATGTCCAACTTTTCCAAACTGCTGTACCACTCCGTCATCTCTAACATCAACTACCCCCCCACCCCCAGTACATTCTCTCTTGTCTTTGGGTTCCCTAATTTGTTGCAATGTCTCACAGAACTCACAGACCATATTTACAATTAAGTGTTTTATTAGGAAAGTAACAGGGTGCAACTCAGGATCAGAAACAACTCAGGATACAGTTGTTCGATCAGGACAGCTTCTTCTCAGCCATGCCCGCAGGCAGGCCTTTCTGCGGCCTTTTGGCCTTATCTCTGCACTGCTTGGGTAAGTGTTAACAAAGCTCCTAGCTTCATAGGCAGCAAGCTCCACCGCAGCCCTCTCTCAGTGGTCTCCTGGTACTTAATGTCTCATGCTGCTGTTGCTCGTCTTACTGCTGTGCCACCATCTCTCACTGCCTGCCATATTACAGCTCCCCTCTCGCTCTCTCTGTGTCTTCTGTTAAGCCTAGCAGGATGGCAAAACAGACCAATCCCTTCATTAGGGTTTCTTTGCACCTTATTTGCATTAACAGCAAGCTGTCCAATCCCCTCAGTGGGCTACAAACACCTTATTTGCATAGTCCCACCCAATCATTGTGTGGGAGTCACAGACTGTGGCTTCATTTCTGATTTTTGTTGTATTTTCTTTCTTTTTTCCTAAAGGTTTGTCAATTTTGTTAATCTTTTCAAAGAACCAGTTTTTTTCTTTAATTTTATTTTGTTATTGTTGAGAATATACACAGCAGAACATACACCAATTCAACCATTTCTACCTGTACAATTCAGAGACATTGATTACATTCTTCAAGTTGTACAACCATTCTCACCCTCCTTTTCTGACTTGTTCCTCCCTCTTTAACATAAACTCATTGCCCCCTAAGGTTTCTGTCTAATCTTTCAAGTTGCTGTTGTTACTTTGAACCCATATAGATAGTTCTTAAAAGAGCATAATGCTAAAGGCAGACGTTTTGTACTAGTTAAACTAAACTATTATTTGGTTTTAAGATTTCAAGGGTGTTTTTAGTTTAAGGTTTAAAGATTATCTCAGGGCAGTAGTTTCAGGGGTTTATCTAACCTTCATGGCTCCAGGAAGTCTGGATTCCAGGAGAATTTGGAATTCTGTTCTGCACTTTCCCCCTTCTGATTAGGATTCGTCTATAGAATCTTTGATCAAAATGTTCAGTAATGCTGGCCAGGCACCATCCAGTTCTTCTGGTCTCATGGCAACACATTCTGTTTCCTCCTCTTATTCCTGACTGTCCTTCTTCATCTGTTGCTCCGGGTGAATAGAACCCTATTGTGCCTTGGATGACCACTTGCCAGCTTTTAAGACCCCAGGAATTAGGAGGTAGAACAGAAGCACTAAACACATTATTAGGCCAATTAACTGCGATGTCCCATG